TTTCCCTGCAACCGCAGGAAGTGCTACACCTGCCCCTACACCTCGCCCCTCACCCCCATCCCAGGCCCCAAGGAGACCTTCCACATCACGCAGATGTTCACCTGCACATCTGCTAATGTGGTATACTGTATCCGCTGTTCCCGATGTGGCCTCCTCTACATCAAGAAAACCAAGTGGAGGCTTGGAGACCACTTTGTGGAACACCCATGCTCGGTTCGCGACAAACAACTGCACCTCCCAGTCGCAAACCATTTCAACTCCCCCTCCCACTCCTTGGACGACATGTCCATCCTGGGCCTCCTCCAGTGCCACAACGATGCTACCCGAAGGTTGCAGGAACAGCACCTCATATTTCGCTTGGGAACCCTGCAGCCCAATGGTATCAATGTGGACTTCACAAGCTTCAAAATCTCCCCTCCCCCGACCGCATCCCAAAACCAGCCTAGCTTGTCCCCGCCTCAGTAACCTATCCATCCACTCCTTCCACCTCAAGCTCCATCCCCACCTCCTACCTACCAGCCTCATCCCGCCTCCTTGACCTGTCCATCCTCCCTGGACTGACCTATCCCCACTCTAACTCCCCACCTACACTCACCTTTACTGGCTCCATCCCCACCTCTTTGACCTGTCTATCTCCTCTCCACCTCTCTGCTCCTTTATCCATCTTCTATCCGCCTCCCCTCTCTCTCTATTTATTTCAGAATCCCCTTCCCCTCCCCTATTTCTGAAGAAGGGTCCAGACCCGAAACGTCAGCTTTCCTGCTCCTCTGATGCTGCTTGGCCTGCTGTGTTCATCCAGCTCTACACCTTGTTATCACAAATATGATGGCGTTTCTTTCACACTCTATAAATGTTTTTACCAAGATCTATCGAGCATTCAGCACAATTTGCATTCCGTGCACTGTTTCTTCAATGACCATTCTGACTGCCTTCGTTTGTCTTTTGTATCTCAGCGTCAATTTTTCACACAGCGAATTTAAAAATCTGCCTTTGAAGGTCTGATGTTCTCTGTGTTATGGATTTTCCCTTTCCTGACCTTAGTTTGAATCTGGCGCCAAATCAGTACAATTTGTAGGTATCCAGTTAGCAGTGAAGTCATTAAGCAGAGATAGCCGTCAATGCCATTGAAGTATTCTCATAGACAACAAACTGGGAAAAGTCACCAGTCTGCAAGTTAACTGTATTTTTCTTTTCACAGTTACTGCTGTGCCTGCTGAGTTCGTGTAGCATTTTCTGCTGCTATAATAAAATGCACTTCTTATTCTTTCAGTTTAACTAATCTTAAAATAGATTATTGGATATACATGTGGCTTATGGTAGAAGCTTAAGTTTCATAAACTTTAAATAGTATTATTTTAAATAAAAAGGAATTTGGTAGATTTTCCACTCCCTTGAGCAGCCTAGGGAAAATATGGCAAATATGGGGAAATCAGATTCTTGACATTAAAAAAATTCCAGTTTTTCCCCTCAGTTTAAACAGTGAATTCTGATTTTCACTATTGAGCAGCAACTACCTTATTTCCATCTGCATTTGTATCTCATTATTAGCCAATCTGACCACACTTCTGTGCAGTTCCCAATTCTCTCCTTCCCCAATAAACTAGACAGCACCAACTTCTGAAATGAAAGTCATAAAAGTCATCTTGCAACAGCACTGCTTACTTCTCTGAGTCTATATCCAAGTCTGTCTTCATAGCAATGTAACCATATGCTCCATGGACATTGCCCTGTTCCACCCTTCCTCCATACAAGTGGGCATCTCCACATCATAATAGATGCTTTCAGAATAACTCATTACTTGTACTATCAGAACTTTATTTCAGAGGTCAGGGACACTTATGACTTACATGCTTCTTCCAGATTACTTTACTCACAGGGTAACACACACTTATCATGCATCTATACAGGATGCATCTTACAGCTCTTAGATTACTTTCTCAGTACTCACTCATATAGTGCTGAATTGGAGGTTCCCCCCCCCCCACAATGTGGTAAGCACTGCTTTTTAGTGCAGACGGAGAGGCAGGCAGGTTTTATTTGATTTGATTTCTTTGATTTATTTATTGTCACATGTATCTTGTTACAAAATACAGAGAAAAGTGTTGTTTAGTGTTGCCACGCTCCATTGTTATCTTAAAACAAAGAAAAATAAACCAAAACACAATAGAAAAATGAAGAAATAAAGAAAGTGTCCAACTTTACAGTCCTGCTTGTTAAGTGCTCTGTCATGGGCTATGGGCCTGGTGGCATGAGTCCCCTTGATCACGCTACCACTGTCACTGAAACAGAAGTCACCACTCTTTGGTGCCATCTCACCTCCACCAACACCCTCACCACTATGAGTCCTTGCTGGACCTTGCCAAGGCAGACACCAGATATTGCACCGGCCCAAACTCGACTCCACTACCATGAGTTTGCTTCAGGCCCACTCACCAATGCAGCCACTGCTGATGCCGCTGGATCTCTTACTGGGCCAAATCCATCTCTACTGCCACCTCCATGAATCTGCGCTAGAAGCCAATGTCGCCGGGAACCCAAACTTGCCTGTGCAGCACCAGAACTGGCTCAACAATGCAGAAGCTGCCAGGAACCCAGTTTGTGTTTGATGCCGCCGCCACAAGTCCACACTGCTGGGCCCACTTGCCACTGCTGTCGCCACAACTGAGCTCTTTACCAGAAGGTAAATAAAATAGAAAGAGGAAAAAGGAAGAGAAAAATAGAATGAAAAGAGAAGCGGATGGAGCAGACCAGCCCCAGGCACAGAAGCCTACACTACCCCCATCATGGTTGTCAACCTGTCATAGTTTGGAGCACTGAATAATCAAGGGAGTGAAAATATTACCTAATGTAACATTGGCATAGCATGGTGCCACCTTCAATATGTTCCGGCATCTTAAGTGGTAAATAAACATCATGTGCTTCAACCAAATGGTCATGTCTGAATTTCAAGGGGTGGAGGGGGCGGCAAGTCAGTCAAGAGCACAAGTGCAAGGAATTGCCCTATTTTTCTCCAATAACACAAAGAAATGGGATTTAGTTTGATGTATGAGTTATTTATGGTGATGCATGAACAGGACAGGACAGGGTGTTCCCCAGTAAGTTAGTTACAAGTGCAGAGGGTGGGAACATTAATAGCTTTGGACGATAACATGAGCAAGACACATTGAACAGACATGATGCAGGTAATAGTGAGCGTTGTAGTCCATGCGCCTTGGTGAGGTGTATATGCAGTTGCAGAGTTAGAATTAGTGCTGGCTCTGAGAGTGTGAAGTAGCAGAGATGATGATGGAATTATCTTCGCAGAGTACAGAAGATCATCAATCTTTCTCCTTGCACAGCTGTGCATTGCATTTCACCCAGAATGCAACTGACAGACCCCACCACCCCCCACCACTGACTTGGTGCAGATCGACTAAGTCCATTCACCTGGCCTTCTTTGCCAGTCAGCAGGATATAGGATGGCTCACCTTTCTACCAGAACCTCTCAATCTCTATTTATAACGTGATGTACTAACTTGCCTTCCTGGGCCATTTCCTCAGATGTAATGCTGGAATACCAGTGTGGAGGG